CCTGCCACATAGAGACCCTTCTCCTTTGAACACCGTGCGTGGTGAAGAGAGAAAGAGAAAAAAATAAAAAATAAAGCTGTCGCTGAGTGTTGGCTCTCTCTCAAATGCCAATCTGCGATGCGCCGGTGCACCGCTTCCTCCTTTCTCGCCCCTGCCACTGTAGAGACCCATCTCTTCTCAACACTGCGCGCGAAGAGAGAGAAAAAAAGGCTGCCGTGGAGAGTTGGTTCTTTTTCAAATGCCGATCTGTTTCTCCCCGCGTGAAGACGCTCTTCCTTTCTCATCACGTGCTGGCCACGCTGTGCTGCAGAGGGTAGCAGTGGAGACGCAGTCGTCTTGTGCCAGCGCTGGACATGGTCGTGTGCAACTTCTCTTACCAGGAGAATGCTGAAGCCGAAGTAGATATGATTTGCAAGCTGTGTGCGAAATTGATTGACTCTCTGTAAAGCAGACGTGTGCAGATGCACATCACCGATTACTTCAATTAATGGCGGGTGTCCTGTGATTTCTGAATAAATGTAAGTCTTCTGAAACTTCCCCCTCGTGTGTTAGCTCAATGCACATGCTCCACTGCATGGTGAGCCCTCTGTTCATTTAGCTTTCATTGATTTGAACTTCGAACAAACTTTCGGGCCCATTTGAGTTCGAATGATCGAGATTCGACTGTATTTGTGTATTTCATTGAATACAAACCTTACAGCCATTTACTAGAAGTAAACTGCAGTGTCAGAACAGTTAGCACCAAATGCCGCTGCTGAAAACTGATTTCGTGATAAATGCAATTCATTTACTTAGAGTGACAGTGAAACGAGAGCTATCGCAATGTGATGGTTGTGATGGCACACATAGAATACAAAAAAGAATTTTTCTACCCAAATTCAGAAGGGCAGGAGTGATAGAAGTAGGCCAGGCAATTGCAGTATCTGTGGCAAACGCTATTTCAGGAAGTTTAGCATGTCAGCCTTTGTGACTAGCCATACTGAGCAATAAGAATAACCTCTGATTGCTATTTTAAATTCCCAGTAATCACCGTTACTAAAGCAAAACCCAGTTTCACAGTTCCCACGCTGCTCTGTGAAGTCAGATGGCAGATGTGGTTGTGGGGAGAAGTAGCAGCGCTTCAGCTATGTCTTGGTTTCTGCATGTATGCTGTCTGCTACGGCGATGATGCACATAGTGTTCCTAGTCTGTGATGGTAAATGCATAGCTTTAGCTTTGGACTAATTTCACATTTCCCTATTGAAATAGACATAACATCACAACTGCATTCATTCAACAACTGCTCAAGTGATTTAAATGAATTTACACTTGCAGTTCAGAGCGCCTGTAAAATGTAGGCAACCTGGAAACATGCCAACTGGCTTGCACTGCCATGTCGCACAGCTGTTGACACCGCTTTACTTCGCACTGCGGCATCGTCTGGACTTTAACTATGGCCATTATAAACTGCTGCACATGCCGAGTGGAGTAAGGAGTAAGTAGTGTTTCATTCTGCTTCCATGTTCCTGGCATTTACACAGTGTTCTATTGGCATTCTGCGAGGTGGCTGGAAATTATTTTGTATGACAGTTACAGCAAGACTAAAGCATATAGAAAATTTTTTCTTATTGTTTAGAAGTGCTCCTGAACACTCAATAATGATGAAATTAACTACCCCAGTACCAGAATGTATTACATTTCACACGATATATAATGTAACTGTTTACAGGGCAGGGCCGGTTATAATGCAGTTTTTTCTGACTTCTGTTAACCATCACGCATGATGGATTACCAACTTGGATAACTTTCTGTTCTGTTCACCCTCTCATAGAAAGGAACTCCATGTATATGCATACCGGTCATTGTGCAGTACTCTGAGATTAATAACTGGCTATAAGGCGGGTGCCATAAATTTCTCAGACACACAAGGTAGCAAGTGCACTTCTCAGTGGAGGTGGACTGGCAGGAGAGAGGGAAACCATGGCATTATGAAGGATGAGGGGGGACAGAGCGAACAAACGAGAAACTGTGCAAGGACAAAAAAAGGAAAGAGGAAGCTTGGGGAAGCAGTGCAATGCGGGCCTGCAGTGTGAGAAGGGTGAGCAATTGCCTAGGCAATGAAAAGGCCTCTCCTCCCTTTGCTCCAGCTGTTTTTTCTGCATGCACTGTGCCCTGAATGGGCACCCTCATCTGCATGAAGTACAGGTTACCACTGTTTGGCTCTTCGGTTGCCAGTCTGGAAAACAATTGTATTGTGCAGATATTGTGTGTGCAACTTCTATTGTGCTTGAACAAGGTCGAACAAATTTTTATCACCTCCTTTTTTCCCTGAGTCGGCAATATCAGAAACATTCTTCTTTCTAATAGTATAGTATACTTCAAAATGTTTTTGTTCAATCAGTCACAGCAGGTGTTTTTGAAATATAGTCATATTTCATTCATTTTGTGGGCTTTGCTTAAATGAAACTTCTCATAAATGGAACAAGTTTTCTTGCCCCTTCGAGTTCCGTTTAAAAGGAGTCCACTGTAAGGCATTCTGAATAGTTAGTCTGTGGCTTTCCACTACAGCAGTTCTTTGAGATGAGAAGTAGCTCTTTGACTAGCCTGTGTAACGCTGTCTGTTCGTGTCTCCGTGCCAACGAGCTGCATCGCGCACCCCTCAATGGAGGTGTTGAACGGTGCCAAGTAAATCACGCCTTCCCTCGCAGTGTGCGGTGGCATCACACTTTTCCTCGCCTGCCGTGTGCTCGCCGCATGTCGCCTCTCTCTCGCTGCACCCTCTTCACCACTCGCAATGTTAAAGCGCACATTAGGTGTACACTCTTCCAGTTCATTTACATGCGATGGAGAGAACATCAAAAAGCGAAGCTCCTTCGCCCACCGAAACATGCGCCGAAGCGATTTGGCCTAACCCGGCTGTTGCCAGAGTTTATTTATTTATTTATTTATTAGAATACCCTCAGGGCCCGTAGGGCATTACAGAGGGGGTGGGTACAACATTTATAACACACAAGAAAAAAAAGACAAAATAAAGAAACAAGTGTAAGATGCGCAAATCAGGAAGGCAACATAAGTCAACTAAAAATGTATAAGAATTCAAGCACATACAAGACAAAGATAGATAATGGAAACTGCGTATAGTTACAAGCATTGCTGAGAAATTGCAGTCTTGAATAACAAAGGGTCTGTTATTGTTACAACGGAAGAGGGAAGGTGGTTCCAATCGGCGGCTGTTTTCGGTAAGAAGGCTGCTGAAAAGAATTTGGTGCGGCAAAACGGAATGGCAACCTTATGCTGATGATCAATGCGCGATGAGTGGTATGACGGTTGTGAAATGAGGTCTCGCTTCATTGATGGATTGTGAAAAAATATCTTATGAAAAAAATGCAGTCGCGCCAGTTTCCTCCGGACAGTTAAATTGGGTAGGTCAAGGTTAGATTTCATTTCTGATATGCTAGCAGTACGGGAATAATTAGAACAAATGAACCGAACTGAGCGGTTCTGAACAGATTCTAACGCGTTAATTAAATGTTGCTGCACGGAATCCCATATAGCGGACGCGTACTCAAGCTTTGGGCGAATTAGTGATCGGTATAATAGAATTTTGAGGGACAGCGGAGCGCGAGAAAAGTTGCGGCGTAAGTATCCTAGCGTTCGGTTAGCGTTATTACAGATGTAGGTAACATGCGTGTGCCAAGATAGATTGTTGGTAATGTAAACGCTGGAGGGGAACGGCGTTAATTCTGTAGGTACAGGGGGGAGAAATAGATCGCCGGGTTATTGACATGCATTTAGATTTGTTAGAGTTACGAGGGTTAGCAGAGCTGATCGCATTTGCAAATGGCGACGTCGTGCCTGCAACACCGACGAAGTGCGAGCCAGGGAAGCTGAATGCAAGCGTGGGCGGTGGAAAACTAATGACACCGATGAAGTGCAAATCAAGCATGGCGATCGCATTCGAGAATGGAGACGCCGCGCGGGTAATACTGAAGAGGCACGAGCCAAGGAAGCCAAGCAGAAGCGCTGACAGTGGAAAGCCAAAGCCAGCGAATCCTCATCGGCAACATCACGAAAGCGCTGCATGCCTGCCCTTCTTTGAAGCGCCCGCCCACAAGTGCCGGTATCCATCCGCCGATCCAGAGGCATGTCGCCCCCACAACGACGATCACAACCGCGCGTGGCGAGAGCCGTCCGCGGCGTTGCCAGCAATGCTGGGGCAGACGCCTGCTTCCGACGAGAGTTCCTCTAACATAGCTTCGGTCACAGTTGCCGCGCGTGCTACCATCTGTGGTTCGACAACCACCTGTCTACGTCGGTTCCATCCGCAACCGCAGCAGCCGGAGACTGCGACGAAAGTGATTCTACGCAAGTTCGGCACGGACCCGTCCAACTTCGAGATCTGCGAACTTGCAAGGAGTTGCTGATGTCGGGGTAACATTCCGACGATGAGCGTCATGCATGGTTACCGTTACCCGACTCGCCCACCAGAACTTCCAGAGCTCAACCATTGTTCCAGCACTTGCGTCGGTGCCGGTTTCAACCAGGTCAACACCGTGCGCACTGCTGCTGCTTCAAATTCCATCAAAGTTCCCTTCAGGGTGATGGTCCATAATTTCGTTTGATATTTTTTTGTCTGGATTCGTTATGTCAGCACTGCAAATATGCAGGTATTACCTTTGAGCATTTGCAAATTTACCCTCAAGTTGCAGACCGATAGAAGGAATCATGCAGCTGCCTGCCGGTAACGTTTTGCAGATGTATACTGCAGCCTTTCAAAAATGTCATTTTGTTAACAGTGCGGTACCGCTTATAGAGTGGATATTTGCGACTACGGCACGTTATAATTCGAATCTTTTTGACAAAGAGACTGTACTACTGCCTCGGCCATTTATATATGAAACTTCAAAAATTTTGAAAAACAATAATGATTAACACTCGCTGCACAGTCCTTTAACACGTAACTCATTATGGCTAAGCTATTGAGAAAGCCCCACACCATACCAATTCAAATGAAAACTTGCCATTTGGTAGGACATCGCAAGTCCCACAGTCGTACGAATGTGTCATATCCACAGGACAGCACCTCTATTGCAGACTCTGGATACACATGCAGGACACCAGCACCGTTGCGGTGGTTTGTCCCAAATGAAGTGATGTGCTGCCCTCTGCAAAACAAACACAAGCTGACCTTGGGGATAACGTCTAAGTACTCACTGCAAGGTCGTCGTCCTTAAATCAAAGTTTGGCTAGACATTTCCAAAGACACGGATATCAAGATTGCGTGGCACAGGGGCAGTGATGCTAGAAGAAATGAGTTATAACAGCAAGAGCTTAGAAAGGATTAATAGAATAAAGGAAGAAGGCTAAGAGCACATCAGCAAGTAGGATGATCGTTCCTTGCTTTACTTGACAGAAATCATGCCACCTAAGTGTCATCTTGAGTCATGCCACCCAAACTGAATCAGTTGAGCACTGCCACTCAAAATGAAGACCCACATCACAATGCACGTTATTATGGTCATGACACTAGCTATTTCTATTAAAGTCACCCAGCTTCATTAAAGCTACAACTCCACATGACTTCATATGATTACACTTCGATTAGTTGGGGGTTGGGGGGGGGGGGGGGGAATGAGCAACATCAGTGAAGAGCAAGATAGCTTTAAAAAAAAAACTAACTTGCCAAAGACACAAACAGAATGTAGCATGGATCAGACCAGAAGTACACAATATTCAGCTAGGCCTCATTAATTCAAATATCATATGGATGATACAAGTTATACAGATGTCTATAAGATTCCAGTGGTATTTAAAAACCTCACCATGTGATCCTACTGAAAGAAAATATTTACCTGGCCTAGAGCCATAATATGTATGTAGCACATTTCTCATAAACCTGTGATATTCTCAACTGATGGCCAGTGAAAAATATTTCATTTCACTTGCATGTAAGAGCCTCTGCAACACTTTAGCATTTTCTCAAAAGTCTTTCTATGGCATGTTACAAAAAACAATACTAAAGCTTACTCCCAAAATGCACGACATAATTGTCTGGCAGGCTTTGATGAGTACTGACACGATTTTGAGGTACCCCGAAAAGGACCTCTTTGGTTTCCATGGTGTGCACTATTCATACTCTTCTCACGCTGGAGCCAGACCACTTCCACAAAATATTTTGCTTTCATTCCAAAGTAAATCGTCCAGCATCTACAAAAGCCAGTCCCACCGCAATGCGCATTATCACAACAAGTCAACACAGTTCAGGGGGTCTGCGAAATTCGCATCTTGCATTCAGCCTGAAATTGCAGAAATTGCTGTCAGTCTTTGTGGACGACAATTCGCTCGTTCACGTGAACCACGTGCGACTGACAACAAACAGGCAGTTGTTGCTAGTATGTTGCGAGTTGCAGTCTTCCTGTGATGTTATACCTGTGTTGACATGTCACTACGAAGCCACCCCCTCAATAACGAAACTACAATTCCTTCATGGTACCATAATTCAATATTATATACAATCATTTTTCTAAGCACCATGACTCATCTTAGCATTCTCAACCCCATTGTTTTTATTTTAAAGAAACAACCTGAAAATATTTCAAGTTCCTGCCAGTACTCCTTTAAGAAACTTTGAATGGGAACAGCCTGATTATCACTATCGTTGATAATCCTGATTATCATTATTGCTGATAATTCTTCAAAGGGCTTCTCGCAATGCCCAATTTCGTTTTTTCTTTATACATTGGTTGCTAGAAAGCATTCTCTACAATGTGTTTTAATAAAGTAATTTTACAAATTAGTTCATTATTTAAGGAAATAAAATAAAAATCAACTGTTCTGTTGCAGGGCCACCCAGGTGGTAATCTTCACTGCCCTTTGCCTTTACCGGCATTCTCATGTTCTCTCCCTGCTTCTTTTTGCGCACCTTCACTGCCCTTTGCCTTTACCAGCATTCTCAGTGTTCTCTCCCTGCTTCTTTTCATGCACCAAAGCAGAAGCATCACATTTTTGTGAAAGGGAATGACAACTGCCAGAATGTAAAATAAAAAAATGGTGAATTGGAGCAACAAAAATTTCATATTCGTTTTATAATTTGAATAAGATTTGGATCCTTTAGGAGAGATGATACTCGACAAACACCAATTTTTTTTTTCCAAAACTACATATTTTTGTTATACTTGGCTTTCACAAGTTTAGTTTATTTTTATGAAGAAAAAAAATCAAGGTTCTAATAAAACTTGAAGTAGGTTAATACTGCTTTTAATAGCACAAGGTAGCTACTAAAAACTAAAAGCTGATTGGTTTGAGTGCCATGGAAACTGTCACCAGGCTGCTTGCCATTGCATTTCGCATGAGGAGTTGACCAAAGCCACACAATTCAAATAACTGTGGTTCCCAAGCTCATGATGAAAGAAATCATTCGAAAGAGCATCTCTTTGCCACATAGATGAGATTTAATTTCTATGTTTAAAGTGCATTTTTCTTAAGATTCAATGTGAGCAACTTCTTGAGATTGGACATTTTTTTTTTGGTACTTCTAATCGCCAGATAAGGATGAAAATTTTCCCACATATTCTATATTAACATGCAAAGGGTGTAAGTACCTCCTTTAAAACTTTATATTGCCTGTATGATTATTGCAAACCTACAGTAAACAATTAGTATTGAATGAGAATTCTAAGAATTCTCGCATTAAAATTTTTCTTGTCCTTTAAATGTCTTATATGCCCTTTCTTGATATTAATGAGAACCGACAGACAATATGCCAAGGAAAATGTAGGGAATGTTATTAGAAGTAACTGTAATATAAATGTGAAGAAAGAAAGGTGGACAAAAAGATAACTTGCCAAGGGCAGGGACCGAATCTGCAACCTTCGACTAACTATACGCATCAAGTGCTGTACCAACTGAGCTACTACGGCGGCTATTGCCCAATCCACTTTATGGGGTATATATGTGGATTAAACGTGGAAGCGTCGATCAGCGCCACCAGTAGCTATGGCTGCAAGTGAGAAACATAAAATCAGAGGAACATAAAGTTGCCGTCAGCGGCGACGATGATGCCGATGGCAAAAACCAGCCGAGAGTGTCCATATAACTGCTATCGCAATAATACAATTTGTTGGCATCGCACTCATTGCTAACAGCTTAAGTGATGGTAACAAATTGTATCTTTTGGACCCGATATCGCCCAAGTCAGAAGAACGCCGGCTAAAGGGACAGTGATCACTCCAGTTGCCGAAGCTGTTTTCGTGTTCAGTTAACCGAAACGCAAAGTAGAGGTTACTACAGTGCAGTCCACTTATAACGATACCACATATAACGATATATCGGTTATAACGATGGGTCGACTTAACAGTCTCATTTTATGCATTGGGGCTATGGGGAAAAAAACCATATATAACGATATGTTATCCACCGCATATCGGATACAACGATGAAAAGTTTGCCGTGGACGGCATGTTTCATTCACAATAATCGTAACATTTGGACTGATATGTTCCTCTAAATGAACTATGCCGAGACAAGACGAAAAGTTAGCGTAGGCGAGCACGTATCTGCCGCCACTGCAGCACAGCGCCGGCAGCGCGTCCCGGCCGTTCAAAAAGCCGAGGAGAGCATCGCGAGTTGGCGCGACGCGCTACAGATGGCGCCAGCTGTGTCACGTTTTGCGCCTCGCCGCGCGTCGACCGCGGAGAGGCTGGGAGAATATAAAAAAAAAAATGCGAAAAGCAAAGCGCCGCGCTCCGCGGCTCCCCGCCTTCTACAACGGCAAGCTACTCGTAGCTTGCCGAACGAAAGCGGGAAAGAGAGAGAAAATAAAAAAAGCGAAAAGCAAAGCGGCGCGACGGCATGGGGGCGGGGCCTCGTTGGCATTCCGGCTGTGTGCCTCTGGCTGTGCTTTCTTCCTCCCACTGCTCCCACCCCGCCGTCGGTCAGTCTCTCTTCCTCAGCGAACCCGTGATGCGTTCTTCGGAGTAAGAAATAAAGTCTTGTTTTTGACATCCTACTATCTACAATATTTATTAATTGGTGAAAATAGCAAAATGAAGCCTGGAGCTACAAAAGGTACGTCCGGCGACGATTTTTTGGCGGCAGTCCAGATATAACGATCACCGGTTATAACGATCATATTTTTAGGTTTTCTCGATATCGTTATAAGTGGACTGCACTGTAGCACAGAAAGTTTACGAGCAGTCTCATTATACCTTGAGATATAGAGCGCGGCGACTGCGCCCTTTGAGCGACTGCGCCTTCTCTACCCCTAAAAGAAAAAAAAAAATTAAGCAATGAATGCGATGCCGCGATGTTCAGTTTTTTTTTTTTTTTTGCTAAACCGTACGCTACTGGCCCTGGAAAGTAAAGGGCGTGCGTGTAACAGGCCGCAGCTGCTTAGCAGTGGGCCTTCCAACACCAGAACCACCAGCGATGGCTTCACTACTGAAAGCTGCACGTATTAAAACCGAATTGTGGCTGCTATGGCCAGGGTGCATGCTTTCATTAATATAACATTTCAAAAAAAAAGCAAGCCAAACTTTAGTATTTGGACCCGAGTAATAACGAGTTCCAAAGGGCAGGGTCTTTTGGCGGCTTTTACCGCAACAGAGATTACATACAGGGATGTGCTGCAGGAAGGCATTACGAAAAAGCTTTTCTGAATGAATAGCCAAGAATGAAGTATATCAGCGGAAAAGTGTCAAGGCGTTCGCATCGTTCACATGTTCTTCTCTGGACGTGAAGCACAGAAAAATAGATCACGATGTCCAGAAGTAGACGTGACTGATATTCTGGCAGCATGCGTAATTATTAGTGAAAATTCCTTCAATTACGTGCCCCGCAACTCTTCAAACGAGTTATTAGCAGCATTCCTGGAACGAACGACGTCCGCAGATGAATAGCCGCTACAGTTTCACGCTACTAATTACACTAGAAGGCCCCGCCGCGGTGGTCTAATAGCTAAGGCACTCGGCTGCTGACCTGCAGGTCGCGGGATCGAATCCAGGCTGCGGCGGCTGCATTTTCGATGGAGGCGGAAATGTCGTAGGCCCGTGTGCTCAGATTCGGGTGCACGTTAAGGAACTCCAAGCGGTCGAAATTTTTGGAGCCCTCCACTATGGCGTCTCTCATAATCATAAGGTGGTTTTGGGAAGTTAAACCCCAGTTTAACAATATATAATTAGACTAGATGTCAAGAGCCCCTACGGAGAGCGCGCTTCGCCATTAAGCGGATTTGCACAAAAAAAGTTGCGTCGGCACCAAACATAGCATCGTGGATTATTTAGGATGCATGCACGACTGCTGTTAATTCAGTGGAATAACACTAGGTACGTGACTGAGGCTTTGGTGGCCTCGAGAAAAAGGTGCACATGTTTTGGCGTGCTCGCATGGATATTGTCGGTGACAGACGCTTCCAAATCTGACTTCGGCACAGTTTGGAGTCATTTGTGTTGATATTATCAGGATGGCGCAGCAAATTTAATTTGGTGCGCTTTGGCGCAGGAGTGGGATCACTGCCACTATGTCCTTGATGTTTTTTTATTTGAGTTTTTTTCTTATTTCGTGCGATAGCAGTTACGGACACCGATGGCGGCGGACAACCACGGCGCCACGCGTGACCCGTGTTGTGATCTCATAAACAGCTTTTGCTGTAAAACAGTCTTGCAATAGATATATGTAATGTTAGGATTTTACCTTCACAACAAATTTTTAGATATAATGAACTTATCTGAGTAAGATGCAACTTTGTTTTAATGAGGTTTGAGGGTACAGTGGAACTTCTATTATAAGACTTTCAGTGTACCATACAAAACTGTCGCATAATCCGAGCGTTGTATAATAATAAAACTAAGATTATAGGCAGTGACACTCAGCCTTGCCCGAAAAATGGGTGCAGACCACCTAAATAAGCCCATGACCTGACCTCGGGCCTCTGAAAGGAAGGTTGATTAAATTATTCTTGCCAGTGGCAGCTAACGGCAGCGTTGCTTAGTTGACGGAGGTGCGAGAAAATTTTTATTGTTAACCTTAAAATATATCAAATCTAAAGTGCATCTTTCTACCCATAAACAATGTCTGAAAATTGCCTGTGCATGAAAACGAAACCAGAACCACATTACTAACAGCCTCCTGTCAGACGGGTCGGACACAGTGTCATCGCTATCACATAATGGCGACGGACCACAAGTTTGTGTAGAATGCCTTCTTGTGCGACCGAGATGTGCGCGTTGTAATTTGTAGTTGGTGAAATGCAACTAGTGATGTCCCACTATTGTGAACGTTGACGTGAAGTGAAAGTAATTTTGCACGGTGAAAACAGCTGCGTCCCGCCCTTATGCATGCGCCAGCCTGTGACTACGAGTGCGACAAAGGCAGGAGATCAAATGTACGTCAACCATGAAAAACTTGCGCATACTGAAAACGTGAAAATATCAGCTTTTGGGCTAGCTGAACCTACTCTGTGTGGATAGAGCTTGAGTAGGTAACGACCCCGAATGTGTATGCATGCGATCGAAGGGTATTTTCTAGGAAATTCTAGGAGAATAAATTTTCCATTCTAAGAGGACATCTTGTCTCACTCTACTTTTCTAGGCATCAACTTAGGAGAACGCAAGTTAATATTTTGCACTCGTGAATATTTGGTGAACGTTTGATTTGAGTAAGGGTGTTTTTTTTCTTTTGGGCAAAACCTGAAAGTCGTCGTATGATGCGGGGTAGGCATAAAACTGCATTGTATAACCAAGGCTTTTAGAACATTATTTCTATGGTGATTTTGCCGGGATGGAATCAATTCGTCATAAAATGCGGGTCATCACGAAACCGGGGGTATAATCGAAGTTTTGCTGTATGTATATATATATATATATATATATATATATATATATATATATATATATATATATATATATATATATATCCCCTTCAGGCACAAATTATGATGCACTGTCGTCGAACGAGTGAAATTCATACAAAGCAATTCCAAGGGACTCAACATGAAGACAAAACAACATGCTGACCATAATAAAAGCAAATAAAAGCAGAACGTTTCAGCCCAAAGGTGGCAACCTTGTTCACAAGTGAAAATAAAATAGATACCATACGAAATTGTGAGCCTCTTCAAAAGCCTTGCCTATCTTTTCTTCTTTCCTCTTGCTTTTACGCTTCTTGCCTCATTTCCAGTAGTAGTGTTGATTAAGCCCCACTGGGCGACTAAGTGGAAACGTCTTGCTTTTATTCGCTTTTATCGTTGTCAGTGTGTTGTTTCAATTGTCTTCACGTCTGTCCAACTATCAAAGACACTCAATACTTACATTTCAAGAAATAAGATGAAGCACTGTGTTGTTTTGTATAAATTTTAACAATTAATTATGCTTTATATGTAATTAAATACCTCATCACTCTGCAGTGGGTTATGTTTTCATTCTGACGTAAAAATAATAAAATGATTGGCTCTTGATGTGTGCACAATTGTTTGTTGTAGCATTAATTTAAAACACACAAAAAAGTGATACTTTTGAGTTAGTTGTGGAACACAGCACATTGAACAACAGCCCATAGAAAATTGTAGTGCCTTCCCCAAAGTGATCAGCTATGGTCATAGCAGCAAACTGATGGTAAGTAAAGTTTCATTGACTATGCAGAAGGTCTAATTCATCTAGTTAGCAATGTATTTTGTTCTCTATTGGACACTAGTTAATAAAGCTAGCATAAAAAAATTGCGTACACAAATGTAATCACCACCGCTAAAGGGGATATAAGAAAAATGAAAGCAAAACTTGCGTAGCTAAGTCGAAGGCCTGAAGTGGCGAGACACCATTGCAGCCAGCAGAACCAGTCAGAAAGGCTCTGCTATTTTCCAGAATTGCCACAGAGCAAACACGATCCCAGATGGAGATAGTATAGCACAGGATTGAGGTTTCTCCGCTCAATTTCCACACCTGCATTTTGGCAGCATCCAAGCAAAAATCAGAATTCCAAGAAAGCTTAAAGACACGTCCTCATCTGCATATGTCAATGTGCATGAACCATAGAACTTTCACTAACTCATGATAGTGCTTATACAATTGGAACCACCAGCTTTATACACCCATGTAAGCTGTACACGAATTAATGCAAATAATTATTCTACCAGTATCCCCATGTCTGCATCTCCTAAAGGGACACTAGGGAAAAAATTGCACCTGTGAGTGAAAAAGTGCCACTCATATTCCAGCAAGATGCTCAGTAAGCCAGAAAAGTGAAACGATGTGTCATGATGTCGCTTAGAAGTTCATGCACAGCTTCTTTTGATTTTCAATGTGGCTGCTTAAATGTTGTTAATGTGGCTGCTTAAATGTTGTTAATAATTAAAAACGAAGGCTAACACACTCTTACAGCGGTGAAGAACCACGCCTCGTGCTTGGCGTGAAAAACACCTTTGAATGAGTCCGACACCTCTCAGAATACATTAGCGGAAAATTTTTTTCGAAAAGCTAAAGTAGGACTGGAGTTATGACGACCTCGATATTTGCCCGACTCATTCCCCCTCAACTTGCTTCCTTCTGCAGGAGAGGGCAATGCCGTTCGCAGTGCCCCGCCCAGTGCATTACATCACCTTGCTTCAATGTTACGTAGTTTCCTTTCCACATAACATGGTGCTGACAGCTGCTGCTCTGCATTCTGGCGCAGTGTGCTCACTATCTACACTCGTGGCAAAAGGATGGCGCGTCGAGCGTGTGAGGGTGAAGCCACTGCAAGTGGCCGTTGCCATCGTTTTGTCTCGGAAGCAACTGTGCGACCTCATGTTTGCTAGCAAGTTGGTGGGTCAGTGTTTCTTTTCCTTCGTTTGAAGCGATGCCTGCTGGTAGTGCTGTAAACTGCTCACGGTCACTAAAAATAGACAGGAAGTGGCCAAGAATGCTCATGGAGCATAAAGAGCCACCCATGCCACGGATTCCAAGATCGAACTCGTCGAACACTGCTAGACAACGAGGCATAACTCCGACTTCAGTAATGCTACGATGCTGGCTCAGGGACAAACGTGGGGCAAGACAAAAAGGTGGGGCAAGACAAGTCGGCGTGCAACAAAAACTGTTGCTACCTACTGGATGTGTACAGAGACATACGAGACTAGAAGCAGACTGGTTGAGCTTTGCTCATTTCATGCCAGTGCATACTGATGATGCCACCCACATAGGTGGTGAAACGTCTGTGTGGTTTTGTTATATTCTCCTGTAGTAAGTTGGAGTATATTTTTAATCATGGACTCATCAGGCTTTTGATACATTTTTGCATTTTTGATGGTCTTCTAGGAGAACGCTTCCCGACAAGGTATCCCAAAATCATATCACGTTTTTCTCATTTTACTAAGAAATAGGCAGTGAGGCAAGATAGTTAGGGTAATGTGGGGTTCCCATAAATTTATTGCCAGCAACTTATAGTGCTGTCCTGTGATCGCATTGTGCTGCAGCCACGCAAGCCTTTCTTTTTTCAGAAGCAGTGTGGTGGTGTGTCGTCGTGTTTCAGCTTCTCTTGCACGAAGTTCAGGGTGAACTCAAAGCGGCAGCGGCTCGAGTGCGCCAAGCAGCAGCTGCAGATGAGTCAGACTGCTGTTTACTGGTCATACCGATGCGCTCCCAATCAGTGTAACTGAAGGAATCCTTGCGAACCAGCACCTTCTAGCGGATTCTTCAAGAAGTTCCTTGAGAAGCGCCTCTAGGGGGAGGAGCGGTAACTAGAGTGGACGACGTCTCACACAGAAGGCAGGGTCGAGCATAGCTGATTGATTGATTTGTGGGGTTTAACGTCCCAAAACCACCATATGATTATGAGAGACGCCGTAGTGGAGGGCTCCGGAAATTTTGACCACCTGGGGTTCTTTAACGTGCACCCAAATCTGAGCACACGGGCCTCGACATTTCCGCCTCCATCGGAAATGCAGCCGCCGCAGCCGGGATTTGAACCCGCGACCTGCGGGTCAGCAGCCGAGTACCTTAGCCACTAGACCACCGCGGCGGGGAGGGTCGAGCATAGCTGCTTTGCATCAAAAGCGTACTGTGACTATAGAAGGGTGTGCTAGCTGTCACAGCTCACAACACATCTGGTTCGTTAATTACACATGCACACACATACTCTATATTTATTAGTATATATGATTGCTAGTGATATGATTGTTGCAGTGATTTAGAGCTCTTCATGACGTTGTTCAGGCCCTGTGCACAAGCTTTCTTTTGTTGCATGCTACATTTTTTCTGGTGATACAAATTTCGGATGATGCAAATATTGTTGGTAACTCCGTAAGATTCGTATCACCGAAGTTTTATTGTATACTGACGTCTACGAGGTTGACTTGAAACTTTAGAACTGAAGGAAGCACACCCTTGCTCGCCACGTCAGTTAGGTTTCCACAGGAGTTAAAAGAGGAGGAGAACACGAGGAAACAGCATCTGTCTTTCACATAGTGGGGACCTCACTACTCACTGCAGCAGATCACCGCAGGCTCAGGCTTAGCGAGTCACAGAGCCGCGTCTACGTCGCCTGCTCCCGTGTAGCGCACCGCTCCATACGCGCTCAAGCATTTAGCACGGCAAGGCAAAACAGTGTTCGATATTAACAGCAATACACTACTTTATTTCTTTTTGAGGCACCCCAAATAACAGTACAACGTCCGTTTCCGGAACGCGGAGAGCAAAGGTTCCCACACACGGATGATCACCAAAAAGGGGAGGCCGCGAACATATCGCAGCTGCCAATGGCGAGCTTTGACACGCCAGTCAAGAAACTATCCTTCGCGACTATGCTGCGCACTCTCGCGATGACCACTGGGGCTGGTCGCGATAGTTAGAACAAATCTCGTAGGCATAGGCCTCCGGCAAGTGCGGACGGCGAAGCTACGTCAAGCATTAGGCACCACTGTTTGGCTTACTGTACGGAACTGGAGCTAACACACAAGTAAACACGCCCGCCGAGGATGCCTAGGCACCAAGGCAGCCTACAGTCCGGCAATTCCCAAGGGGGACACGAACGAAGAAAAACACGTGCTTACCAACACATTCAAGGATAGAGAGACCCTTGTGGGCGTGCACGTGACTAAGTCCAATTGGCTCTCGCAGCCCCGAGCTCACGTGCCACACCTGCGCGAGGCGCTATCTAAAGCCAGGCACCGTCACCAAAGCCCGGGAGAAGAACCCAAAGGGAAGCAGCTCAAGGAAGCTTTGAAAGACGTTGGCTTTACCCTCCTCGACATGCCAGACCAATACACAAGGATTGGCGACGCGAAGCAGAATAATACATCGCCGGACCTAATAAGGGTTAGGCACCTACCAAAAGGTACGCACTGGGACATACAGACTGACAATATTAGCAGCGACCGCTTACCAATTGTGATTGTCTGGGGCGAAATTTTTTCTGTGTCAAAGAAGGGTTCCTTTATCGACTGGGACAAGCATCGGTCTTATATGAATGGATGCCCTGAAACAGCCTTCCTTGATGAACTTACAAAACACATATGAGAAGTGACAATAAAGGCAGGTAAAACCTACAATTAAGTTCCTCAAAAGCCTGTGCCCGATAGGCATCTACTTAACTTCTGGGAGGCGTGTATCGCTGCTTTGCATGCATGCAGGACTGAAAAAACAGCTCGCAATCTTTGAAGCTTAAACTTCTTACGAGACAGGCATGAAAGTACGCGAGCAAGCTATGTAGGCAACAGTGGCGGGATTGTTGCAACCAACTCCACGGTCGGATAAATAATCAAAGGCTATGAAACATTGTAAAATCACTGGAAGGCCGGGGAAAAACTTCAACAGCCGCTGAAAATTTTTGCCTGGCTTCCCATTCATCAGTGCCAGCTACCGCCAATACGTGCGCCAACACATTTTTTCCAGAACTGGCAAGGCATTCGGAGTATCCAAAGTAGCCCGAGGAAAAAACAAAGCAACGACATAATAGATGCTCGTTTCACAATCCAAGAACTTATGATAGCACTAAAAAAATCAAATAGTAAAACAGCTTCGAACCCTGATATGATTAGGTACAAACAATTACAGCAACTGACAGATAACCAACAAATCCCCATTTTTTTCCTCATCAATCAAGTATGGGAAGATAGCAATCTCCGTAAAGAGTGGGAACATTCATATGTTATACCACTGCCAAAACCGAACCAATCTCCGACGACTGCATGTAACCTTTAGCCCATTTAATTAACTTCAGTAAATGAAAACGTGATGGAGCAAATGGTTAAAAAACATCTCACATGGATGCTAGAAAGTGGGGAGCACTATCATTGGACCCAAACTGGCTTCAGACCCCACCTGTGTACGCAGGACACACTCCGGCGCCTATATGAGAATGTACTAAGACCCCTCACCATAATGGCCAAGCACTATCGTAAGTATTGATGTAAAGAAGGCTTCCGACTTTGTGCCCTATGATACTACACTTTGAGCGCTGTCAGAACTGCTTGTTGGTAGAAGGCTGTACAATTATGTTTAGAGTTTTCTGCGAAACAGGACCTTTTTATAAAAATAGGCTCTCTTACCAGTCAATCATACACCAACAAAATAGGAGTTCCACAGGGAGCTGTTATCTCTTCAACACTGCTCAACATAACAATGTGTCCACTTGCCTTTCTTCGGTCTCGGCGGAAATCTATGCAGATGATGTTACAATATGGTCTAACGTGCGAGACATCTCTACACAACAGCAGCAACTTCTGAACGCAATCGATGTTATCACCACCAGAGAAAACCGAGTTAGTAGCTGTTCTCAAACCCACAAACCACAGCAAGCAGAAATTTACCGTATTTACTAGCGTAATGAACCCCCCCCCCCCCCCCTGGTTCTTATAAAGAAAATTTTTTTAATGTATCTGCTGATTGATTGATTGAAACTTAATTTTTGTCCTGAGAAGACACAGGGGAGACCCCGGGCCACCCGGCTAATCCCACGTAGGAAC